AAACTGCACACTTTGTAAATAACATATCTGCACACTTATAACATATCTGTACATTTATCTAAACAATTACATTTTTTCCTATACTTCTATTTCTGTATATAGTACATTATTTAAATTTTTTTTTTTAATATATTTTTATATTAGTTTTATATTACATCCCTACTGTGTTATTCCTATGTATGTCTGCACTATGTTTGTACTTTCTTCTACACTGGAAGCTCCTGTCGTCAAGTCAAATTCCTTGTGTGTGTAAACATACTTCGTAATAAAGCTCTTCTGATTCTGATTAAGACTGTCAAATACACTAATTTTGTGCTCCTTGTCTTGTGATTTTTCTCCAATTTAAACTTTAGCAGCAAATATGGTGTTAGAGTTTGTATGTAAGTGTGATTCATTTCTGTGAATATCGTTTAATGAGTCTGATCTACTGATTCTTTCAGATCAAATACATCAAATATTCACATACAGTAATTATGCTGACAGATTTGATTAAATAACAATCTTGACAGGGTGGAAAGCTTGATTATTTTTACTATATTTGACTGAAATTGAACTTTAATTGTAATTCACCGAATTAATAATTTTGAATGTACAACATAAAAGATAACGTACTTTATTTCTGGCATCTTTGCAATTGCAAGTCAAAGTGTTACTGGTTTTTACCGTATCAATGGTGTCTCGTTTGTTGTTGTCTTCAGGTGTTAGCGACTGCTTCAAAGTCTCCAACTACATAAAGAATTCATATACAAATATTAATAGAAGTATACAACTGTCAGATTATTTGTACCAAGTAAAATAGTTATGTCTGACATTTTTATCACCTGAAGTTTGGCTTCAAGGTCCAGCAGCCCATTTGATAGTTCTTTTATGGATTCTACAATTTCATGGTGTTTGTTGATTGTTTTCTCCATGTATTTCTTTCCTTCTTCAGCACCTACATTAAAAACAGCAGTCATGCGAGTATAAGACTCTGTGTATAAGGAATGAATAAAGCTGTTTGTTGTTAGGATGACAAAAAGTTTTAAAAGTTAAAATCTACTGCTTGGGTCAGAGGAACATTATAAAGGATGTTAAGGGGTTGCTGCAATTACTTTTACACACTGGGGTCTCTATGAAGTAATTTGTTCTATTCAGTAAAAGGGTAAATAATAAATTCCTCTAAAGCAATATTTCAGAATGCATTCTTAATTTCTCACCATGTAGCCGTACTGCCAGCTCTGTGATCTGGCTAATTCTCTCCTCTTGCTGTGGTATTGTGGGCCACACAAATTTTTCAAACTGTTTGTAGAGAGAGCTGACTGCTTCCTTAGTCTTACATTGAGAGGAATATTTACCCACACGTACAATTGTGGAGCTTGCTTCGTCGCACCAGAACTGATACTGTGTTTAAAATGAAAGGTGAGAGGATAGACTATTTATAGCCATTTACTGTGATACTGCTTTAAAGTCATACATTTGTGAGAGCAAAGCATATTTAATTTGTTTTCTACTTCATTTAGCAGCATTATAAATGGAAAGATCTGAAGGTAAACATTAATATAAAACTTTGAAATAAATTAATAAAAAAATTCCAAAAATTCCACATCAGGATTATAAAATAAACAAGTAAAATTGCTGCTAAATTGTGATAGTAGCTCCTATAGGCTCATTATATTTTCCTGGTGCACCCCACCTCCTCTAAGGCTTGCTGGAGCTTGACATTCATGTCCAGGTTCTGTTTGTACTCCTCCACTGCCCTGTCAAAATCGCCCACTTGTCTCTGCAGCGCATTTAAGGCATCCTCAATCTCTCTGAGGCTGTTGCCAATTAAATGGCTCTCACTGCTGCTGGATACTTTCAGAGTGAAGGCTTGCAGCTTCTTCTTCAAAACCTACAACAGGGAGGGATTTGGATACATTTTATAAATAGACAACTGTCAAAACATTAAAAGACGAAGAAATCTCCTGCAGGTATGAGCAGTACCATCGCAAGGGCTGTGCCAAGTGTGCAACTGCACAGGGCCTCGCGCCTCTAGAGGGCCTCGCTCCTGGCCTGCATTTTATGTTGTTTATGTCTAATTTTTATTACTGTTTTTCCACCCATTTTGTCCTTTGAAAGACTAAAATAGTCATAGCTGATAAACAGTATAAGGAATGAGTAAAGCTGTTTGCTGTTAGGATGACAAAAAGTTTTAAAAGTTAAACTTTTAGGCTGGTCTGTCTCAGTGGTCCAACAGTGCTCGTCAATGTCAAAATGATTGAGATGGCCAATCAAATCAAAGAAGGCGGGTCTTACGGTCACTGTCACAACGCAACGAGAGTTCGTGGAAAGATGTAAGTAGTACTGTATTAGAAAACAAAATAGAAATGTTCAGCGACCGACAGTAATAGACTATCTAGTGATGCAAGCTACTCAACCTTTTATGAAATTTCGCCCTTTTGAATTGAAAATATGCAATCATGATTCATGTAAATCGTAAATGAACGTGACAAGAGACATTTGCGTTTTCGACTATTAGACATACGAATATGAGTGAATGTGCTTGCCACGGCCCTGGGTATGAGTCTGTATAATTCTCTCACTGCTGAGTGAAGATCCTCAAATATAAAAACATATATAATAATAAAACTTGCAAGCAGATTAAAAGAGAGCTTCCTTACCTGTAGCTTTTCAATGTAAATCTCAATTTGCTGGATCTGATTTTTCACCGCCTTTAAGTTTCTCGACTTCTCGTTTTTCTTCATGTAGTTGAATTTCAAATTGTTGAATTTCTTTTTGAGATCTCTGAAGGACTCTCTCATCTTAAAAAAAAAAATCAGGAAAAACATGTTAATATAGCAACAGAAAATCATGCAAAGAACCACCAAAAGACAGCTATGATTAAAGAAGAAAATAATTCACACATAAATAAAGGAATTTGAAAGAATCTTCAGGAACCTTTTTTCCACACAAAAACAGTTCAAAGTTGTCAAGTGATCATGCTCAAAAAAATGGGGAAAGCATCTCAAAAGTAGTACAAATGTATTACAAAAGTAATACATGTTAATGTTTGCTACAATGGCTTTGTATAAGGAATGTTATTCAGAAGGCAAATGTGAAAAGATTTAAGGGCTTCATCAGAGGGGAAGACTGTCAGTGTATTTCAATACTTTTTTTCTTAGAAATATTTATAAAGTATACACATAATACACATAATTGTTTTGCCCCAAAAATGTCTCATAATATACAAAACAGGTGAAACATGAAAGTGAGTACATAATTTTAATGATACGGTTAACTAACCCTTTAAAACCTCTCTAACAAAACAATGCTAAGCTTCTTTAACATGCTGATTAGGAAAATTTTTACCAAATATAATAGTGTAATCAAATATAAGATTAGGTGTGGATAGGTATGGGGAGGCTCTCTGAGTGAAGTTCGGCTGAGTCCAGGGGGATTATTTTGGAGGGATTAATTGACAGAGCAGTGGATGATTTATAATGCAGATCCAGAGCCTGTCCAGCCTGATGAGCTTTTGCAATGGTGTCGTGTCTCCAAATGACAGGCTCAATTGTCAAGGACAGCTGCAGCGTCTAGAGCCAGTTAAAGAGGCCTTACAACTGTCTTACTGGATTTTTCCAACAGAGGGCTATAGAGGAAGTTTCTGCTGCAGCCCAAACAGAGGGATGTGCGTGGAGGAAAGTTCAGACTTTCACATGGCATAATGGTGACTGTTAACATCTAAACAACTTGCTTAAATTATGCTCAGTTAACATTTGTGGTGGCAGCTATTTCTCAGGGCCTTATGATCTGATCTGTAAAACAAGGAATGAGATGTTGCTGAAGACCAAACTGGCAAATCTAGTGAAATCATCACTGGAAGTATTGACTGCATTTAGATTTTCTGCTAAACACGACAGCAGCACTGAAATTTTACTTCTAAATCAACTCATCTAAAAATATAAATGGGTCAATGTGACTACAATGAAAATAATATCCATTTGTAGTCTATGAAACTGGACTATTTATAACTGACTGGTGGTTTGATTGGTATGACTGACAACATATTGGTGACTCACATTGACATTGAATTAGAAATTGTTGAATCATGCCTTCAAGTTTCTACTGTTGATTTTTATGTTTGGTGAGCATAAAAATCTAATCAACACCAAACTGTTGAACTGATAGTAGTGTACACAACTCATTTCATTAAACAGCTTTGAAAGTAGTGCCAGACTTACTGTAAGTACAGCTACTTTAAAAAATGTCCTTGCTCTATTTAAAGTCTTGCAGCAGTCATACATTGAAATAGCATGACATCACATGACACAGGGAACTCGGATATGTATAAGAAGCTTTGAATTCTACTTCTACTGAAGAGCAAGATAGACACTGAGCTTCTAGAATACTGACTTGCATAAAGAGACCCACAAGCTGCATGGGTTTAATACAATCCATGTCTTTGTGTGAATCTCCTCATGGAAAGAATATTTGAGTGTCTATTTGATTAATTCAGTTATCATCATTATGCTCCATCTACAGTATCTGCAGAATGTGACACCTCATCACAATTCACAAATCCTTCCAACATGTTATAGTTCCAAGCGATTACCTTAAACAGTGGTTTTCAACATTTTTGGCTCCAATGACCCCCATTGTACACAACAATATTGAAGGCTTAATTATTGGAGGGAAATGATTAAGCATAAGGACTTTGCTTACAATTTCTACCTGATAATATATTTTAAAAATTTGGCATAAGTAGAAAAAGTACGCTCATGAAATGTATAAAAATGGCCATGGAGTTTATTCATTTATATGAAAAATCCAGGTCTAGAAATCTCACTTTTATAATTATTGAAATAAAAGAATTGTTGATGGGGTGAATTGAAATAAATATATTGACTCTTAGCTATTTTAGCTTACATTAATGCTTGTTTTGTCTTTATTTTAAATGCAGTCATCTTGAGGCCCCCCCCCCCAGTTGAGAATCACTGGTCTAAATGCCTGTGCTTATTGATTTAGAGAGGGGAAAAAGTATGATTATTATCCTCTAGAGAGAGACAGAGATTACAATATTATCACAATAGTAACAGACTGTTTTTAAGACATTCTAAAATACTTGTAATGAATTATGGTATCTCTCACCAAACTATAAAATTCAACTTTTATTAACATTATTTACAATCAACAAGTGATTTACAATCAAAAAGCCGAAAAACAAATATGGCTGTATATCACTCGTACACAAAAACCAATTTGTGCAGTAATCAAAAAACAAAAAGGACATCATGAAACTAAGTCATATAAGGAAGGAAACCTATCTGATGTTCTGTGGCCTGTGAGGTTTGCGGTGTAATACTAGGGATTGACTGTTGGATTTTGTGGCTGTGGGGCAGTAAGTATGTGATAAGGGAGGAATCCTTCCTGCTATCTGAAGTGATGAGAGACAAATGGCAGGATTTGAGTCTCTCAGTCAACACAGAGAGAGACAAACCCTGCAGTTCACAGACTAAATTTAACAAGGGCAGACAAGCTATAAATAATTCAGGGAGAGAGACAGTGAGAGTCAGCCACAACAGACCAACTTCTGAGCCCTGGATCATTGCGCTGGGAAAAAGAGTTAACAGGCAATAAGGGAATCAAAGCTTCAGTGATCTTTTAAAATATATATATATATATATATATATATATATAATATAAAAATTATTTGTACTATGAAAACATACTAACTTCCAAAACTCCATTTATTCCCCAGTGAAAACAAGAGTATGAAACTTAAGCTGCTAGAATGGCTTGTTCTGTACTTTTGCAACATCTTTCCGATTATGACCATGATTTAGAATACATCTGAAAACACGTCCAACTATTTTTGCACATTTAAACCCATCACCTTTGTACAATGCATTGCAGGCTTTGAAAAGAGGCCGTGAACATTAAAAACTATATTGGACCCAACAGTCTCGTTTCACATGCATCGTTTGCACTCTTAATGGCACAGCAGCAAATAATGACCCTTTGAGTTAGTCAGAGATAGTGGAAAATGGTCTTATGATTTGAACTTATGATTGTTTAGGGCACAAAAATATTTTAGTGGACCTAAAAGACCACTATTAACATCACATGATGAAATCAAGACACAACGACATTGTTTTTCCATGGCACAGTGTTTTTTTCCTGAATTGTGCTTCAGATGAGATTAAGAGATATTACGAGAAATTAGTGATTGATCCAAACCCTGACTGATACACACTTATGAAACTTACCTCACCAATATCTTCCTTATAAAGGCAGAAGTGGACAATGCTCATCAAACTCTCTTCACACTTGTTGGCCTCAGCAATCCATTCAACGCTTCCTCTTTCCAATTTGTCCAGTTTCTCCTTTAACTGCTGCACTGACAACACCAGCAGACGCTTGGAGCATAAAGAAAGGGGGAAAATGGAGAAGAATGCTCATTTATGGCACTTGTTTCATACCGTTTCTATCAAAGCAACAAGTATTGTTATGCATTTATGCATAACAAATATGCATAACATTTTTCAGGTTCGGGTAAGGAAATCCAGAGAATGCATGAAATCTTTTGAAGATAATGAGGGCATGCAATATTTTGAAGTAATTGACACACCGAGTGTTGCACAGTGCTGGTGAGATCTGCACCCAGCGAGAGGGCGAGCTTGTACAGATAGTGGAAGTGCCTCTGCCTCTCTTGGTGCTGAGTCAACTGAGTCCTGGCCTGGCTGGTGTCACTGTACACAGTCACTGGTTCTGCATGTAATACAGTGACCAGCTGGGAAAAAAAAGTATGCTTAGGCTACAAATTTCAGCCAATAATATAATATAATATAATATAATATATAATATAATTAATAAATAATATATAATTTATTATCCTTTTTATTAATAAGAAATTATTCACAATTTATATTTGTCTACAAAACTTAAATTTATTAAATTAACAAATTAAAAACACAAAATTAAAATATAATTTTTTAGCTCTCCAAGGTGGTTGAGGTAAAGAAAAACACTCAACAAATGTCCACAGTATTTTTTAAAACAATTGCACCCAATTATTAAATAATGACGATGATGATTATTAATACTATCACTAGTGTTTAGTCACAATGTACAGTATAGTTGTCAGGATGCAACTAGTGACATTGACTAAATGAATGAACACGGTCTGCAAAGCTGTTATCTAGAGAGTGAGCAGTGTGTTTGAAAATGCTTTTTTAAAATGTTTATTCATCACTATTTAATTATCATAATCCTATTATTTCGCATAATCTATTAGAATGAGTAGGTGGCTGACTTTTAACAGTGCATATTAATTCTGGTTTTGAAATCCATTACAATACCTTTTCAAATGATTCTTTAAAGTGTTCTGACAGAAATGAGATTTTACCTCTTGATAAAGCTGATGAAATTTACTGGCCATACTGAGAACGGTTTCATACTCTGTGATTTTATCTCTGACACGCTGATGTAGCTGCAGGAGCTCAGAAACTCTCTCGTTCTTCTCTTTCACCGGTATTCCCTTCAAGCCAAGCAGCTCGGATGTCTTAACCAGGAATTCCACTTCTGCATTCAGTTGCTGTGAAGTTTTGAAGTAAAATTGAGGTTAGTTATACAGTTGTTAAAACAAAGCATTTTCAATAACGAGAAAGCAAAAAGAGTAGTCTTACCAGGAATTCTGGCTTTACAGCATTGAAGTTATCCTGTAGTTTAGACACAGACTGAGAATCACCCCCCAAATCAACCTTTGAAGCTGGAGCAAAAATCTCCTCCATTGCCTTTAAATCATGAAGAACCTGCAGGCAATATAATGCTATTAATGTTTTGCAGGAAGAAATAAAACAGCATCCTTTTTAAATGCTTAAATAATATGGAGCATTTCATAACTATTTTTGCTTCCGTAAACTGATGTATTTATGAGCAAAATCAAAAGTTACCTTTTTAAGTTTATCCTTAAATTTTTTCCACTGCTTCTTCACAGATTTCATCTGACTATAATGCAGTTGCCAGGACGACCATAAGTCTGCTAGTTCAGACTTCTTTTTGGTCAGTGTGTCCATATATTTTTCTACAACATGCCCTGCTGCTTTAATGTTTAGATTCAGGTTGCTACTGATCTGCAATAAAAATAAATGAGGTTTTAAACCCCAAGACACAGCCATAGATTTGCAAAGACTGCTAGTTGTAAGTTTGCTCTACAATGTTTCTTACCATGTTAGAGGAGTTAATAAAATTGTTGCCCAGGTCCTGCATGGTGAAAAACTTCTGCAGCAATGACTGCCACTTAGCATCCAACATATCCTTCATGGTTGCACCTGCTCCTTCATTTTCCTCTGGCCTATTCTTATAGCATTCCTCAAGCGTCCTTATCTGTTCCTCAACCTGTGTCACCACACAAAATAATCATCATTGGACTATTGGTTTTAGTCTGACTGGATACATCAATACTATAAATATATGTTCTAAATATATAACCATACCTCATCTGCACTGCGCAGAAAGTCCATGTAGGGTCTAAGGCTTTCCACATGAGATGAAATGTTTCTGAGCAGTGTTTTCATCTCCTCTGCCAAAAGTGAAGCTTTGTTAGACAACTCAACTGCATCTGAGGATTCCAGCCCCTTTAGTTCCTTTATGAAACCAGCTATAGCTTCTGATTCTCTCACAGCATCCTGCAGGGAAAAAAAACACCATTCAAAGAAACACCTGATTACTACGAGAAGATCTTAATATGAGAAGATCTTCATAGCACTTTTACTTTTTAGGGATTGTATAAAATGGTCAAATAACTTTGAAATTTTCACATCATATTGTATTCTCAGTCTAGGTAAGTATGAAGTCACCTGAGACTGTGAGAGTAGCTCAACATGCTTGTTAAGGGTGTCCTCAGCCTCAGTTAGAGATGAACCAGGCTCTGTGCTGGAAGAGAGGACACTGTTGCTGCTCTTAATCCATGCAGAGATCTGTGGAGATTCAGGAGTTTGAGATGAATCATTATGATGAAATATAAATGCGCTTTTCAACAAGCTACAATATTAAGGTACATTTATCAACTTATAACAAATAACCTAATAATGCATTTAAAAATAGAAAAAGTTGAAGGGTGAATTTTAGGCACATACAATAAAAAACAAACAAATAAATAAATAGTGCATTTGCGTTGTTTCTAACAGCATAAATAAAGACAAATGAAAATAATAATTTAATGGCATTACATAAATAAATAAATACTTTATAGTTCTAATCCTTTATAGTTCTTATGTCATTTAATTATTATTTTTGATTATTATTGGGTGGAAATATTTGACAAGAAATTGACATTTCATGGCATTACATATATGTGATCCTGGACCACAAAACCAGTCATATGGGTCAATTTTTGATTTAAGATTTATTGAGATGTATACACCAGCTGAATAAATAAGCTTTCCATTGATGTGTGGTTTGTTAGGATACGACAATATTTGGCCGAGATACAACTATTTGAATATCTGGAATCTGAAATGTTTATTATTCTTATAAAATTATTATTATTATTGTTGTTGTTGTTAGAAAAGTGCCAGCAAATTGATGTTTCATGACATTCACCCTTAATTCTGTGTTATAGATGTTGTCAGCTACATACAGAGATTACCACATTTTTCTCTATACCTTATCCACCAGTTCTTCAAATGAAGACAACAGCTGCTGCCGTTTGCCTGTTAACTTTCTGTGGGCGTGACACTCATGGCTCAGAGCATCGATTCTCTCTTTGATGTATCCCAGCATCCTTTGCAGCCCTCCAACTTGGGCACTAACAAACAAACACACATGCGCGCCATGGACGCCTGACACTACACAGAACATCTCAATCCTTTTATCAATCCTCTGAAAACCCAGAGTCTGGATATCTGCTGTGATAAGGTCTATTTTTTAACACACTGTAGCATCTGCTCTTTGTTTTCTCACCTTTGTGGGTGGAGCTTCTGAAGTAACAGCTGACCTCTCTGAAGAGGCTCGACAGATGCGTCTTTTATACTCCGTGAATACTCATCATGTTTCCTGGCCAGTTCAGGTAATGGCAGAGGTTGATTCTTCAGTTCTTTTATAGCAATCTCTATGGTGCCCAGCACCTCAAATGCCTGGGAAAAAATATTTAAAAAATGCATATATATATATATATATATATAGCTTATTTTACTCAAAGCATTCTAAATAATGAAATAAACATATAAAATTCCTAAGGGAACCATGGCAAATGAATCCTTTGGGTTGGATACAAATTGATGTCATGACAATGTATGCTATATAAATTTATGCAACACACTCCATAAATCACTCACATTATACATCTTCACTAGGGGGTACTACCTTCAGCCACAAAAACAAATGACACGCAAGTCACTAGAGTGTGGTCAGAAGAAATATAGCTGCTGAAGTGTTTACCAAGAGTTAGGGCTCTGTCAGCTCAGTTATCCAAACCTCAACTTAGTCCAAGCATGTGAAGTGCTACTATATTACGTACTTTATTAGCACTGCTGTAAAAGCCATTGCTCTCCTGCAGATGAGCCAGACGATTCATCATGAGGCTCCAGAACTGCTCGTGTGTAGCTTTGAGTTTTTCACTCTTCTCTGACAAGCGTTGAAGTTGTGTGCACTCATTCGAGGAAAGCAGATCTGACGCCTGCTGTATTAACCTCTCAACCAGCACACCCCAGTCCTGAAGGAAGTACATGAACCATAAAAAAGCTTTAGATACCCACTGAAGTTAACCTTTTTAACTTTAAAAATATATGATTTTATTTAATATTATTTTATTTCATTATTTTATTTTAAGAATATGTGTTGTAATATTAGAACGTATTTCTATAAGAGTATCAAACTTTCAGTAATGTGCTGTTGTCAAACTCAGGCACTTACACTTTATTAATTATAACTTGATTATTTACACAATGGCACAAAGATTAACAGTACAGAAATAGAGATCTAATGTTACTGTAGCTGTTGCGGAGTAAGAGAGTGAGAAGAGCTTAAAGTTCATTTTAAAAACTATATAATACCATACACATTTATGTAATTATATTTTAGAAATGATTACATTGTTGTCATTTACTATGTCTGTGATGTTGTTTTCCCACCAAAATTATGTCACAAATGATGTCCTGATTGAAAGTGATTTTGCAAAAACTTAACAGGGCAGAAACACAAGGACAAGAGGACAAAAAAACTAAAACACGCTGATTACTAATTACACATCAAGCACAACACAACATGTTTTGTTTGAATTATTTTGATTACAGAAAGGAAAACTTGAAACACCTGAAATATTTTTTAGTAAATCAGTTTTTCAAGTTACATACATAGCAGTTAGTCAATAATGCTTGAGCACAAATGGCAATATCCCCACTCAAACCAAAGAACCTGAATTATTTTAAATGTATCTATATATCTACTTAATTATAATATTTTTAGAAAAGAAAACTATTCAGACTAATTCGTCTTGAAAAATGAGAGTTTAATATTTTATACAATATATTAAGCCAGGAATATTTTATCTGTTCATTGAACAGTCTAGTGATCCCGTACCTTGGATTTCTGTTCAAACTCTTTGTATTCACGTAGTAAGTCCTCATTTTCTGACAGAGATGAACCCAGATGACTGTTTTCCAAGAACAAAGTAGCCTTTTCCTTAAACCACTGTGTTACCTGTTTAAAAGCACATATGACACATATGCAATAGTGAAAATGCTTCTACTTTCAATTTGTCCAGTTTAATTCAAAGTTCTAATTATAAATGATCAGCATAACAATATGAGCTAAAAGTAGAAAACAAAACAAAACATTTTATTATTTGGTATGTCCTTAATGGCAGCAGTACTGTATCTGTCGTGAATAAAAGACTGTCATAACTTTTTTCTTAATTTCTTTTTTATTATACATAGAAATAGGCTAGTTTATCTTAAATATATTTTCTTCATTTAACATTATTTATTTCCAGGTTTAATGAAATAAAAAAATTATTTTGACAACGATTCAATTAAAATATCTCTATGTAGCTAAATAATAAAAATAAGTAATTTATGGATTTAATTCACAGTGATTTAAAAAAGAAGATTAGCAGTTTAACATTTAATAATATTTTAAATTTAACATTGATATGCAAAGCATTAGTGCCCTTTAATGAAAGCAAAGTGGGTTTTCCCCAGGGATCATATCAAACACAAGCATGTGCCCTGTACCTTCTCAGCATGCTAAGTATGCTGGCCAGTTATTTTAGTTCAACATTTTTAAAAAGGCAGCCAGTCATCAACATGTTTTCATGCTGAGTGCCTTTGAGCATGCTTGAATATCCTTTACCATGTGAGAGTGTGGACAATCTAACATGAACACAAAAAGCAACTTATGATAGCTATATTTGTCATACTGTATTTCATTAAGGTATCCATTACACAATGGCAGTGAAATACTTGAAGTGGAACTCATGTTGTCTTGAGAGATTTTTTTCAGGATTGTGATGCTATTGTCATGTAGTAGATATCTTTAAAAAAGCAATCAGGAATTTTTAAAGTAGCTTGAGCCATTATAACAGTTGTCTGGGACCTGGCGGTGTATATGTAGTATCACAGAAAATACAATTATTTTTAAGCATGATTTCAAACATACACTACTCTTCAGAAATTTGGGGTTAGTATGATTTTTTTTTTTTTTTAAGTAAAACAAAAACAAAAAAACAAGATATTTTGATTATTTTAATATATTTCAAAATGTAATTTTTTCCTGTGACGCAAAGCTGAATTTTCAGCATCATTACTCCAGTCTTCAGTGTCACATGATCCTTCAGAAATCATTCTAACATGCCGATTTGGTGTTTACATTTTTTTTTTTATTATTATCATCACTGTTGAAAACGGTTCTGTTTAATATTTTTGTGGAGACAGTTTTTTTTTCAAGATTCTTTAATGAATAGAAATGTAAAAAACAATTATTTGAAATAGAAAATGTTCGTAAATTTAATGCATCCTTACTGAATAAAGAATTCATTAAAAAAAAAAAAACTCGTACAGACCCCTAACCATTTAAATAATAGTGCACTTAAACTGGTGAAACTGATGCCATATCTTTTGTTTTTATGAGAATTTACTTAAAGGGGTCATATAATGCGATTAAAATTTTTCCTTTCTCTTTGAAGTGTTACAAGCTCTTGGTGCATAAAGAAGATCTGTAAAGTTGCAAAGACTAAAGTCTCAAATCCAAAGAGATATTCTTTATAAAAGTTAAGAGTCAGCCACGCCTACCTAAAACGGCTCGTTCTAACACGCCCCACATGTCTACGTCACGATGTGGGAAGATTT